GTTGTTGTTCTATTTTTTTATTTCTTTCTTTCTTTCCCTCCTGTCTTCACCAGTTTCCCAAAGTTTGCATAATCAGCCTTGCTTCATCCTCTTCTTCTATTTCTGTTTTTCCCCTAACCTCTTTTAAATTTTCTCCCCTTAGGCACCATACTGAGAGCATATTTACTATATACAATTTTCTGGTTCTAGATTTTGTTATCAAACCACAAAACTAGTCCATACAGTTAAAAATGGCAAATTAATAGTTACATTTGATGCTATTGTTATTGCTAATTATACTACTTTAGCCAAGGTGGCATAGTTGTTCTAATCAGTTGTTCTTCCTGATATGCCAAGACTGAGATTGCCTGAGGGTCATAAACAATACTATAGACCAGTGCCAAAGAACCAGGGGCTAGTCCAAATAGGCAGGAATGTCTCATCCCAAATAAATTGAAAAGGTAGGATCTTGCAACAGACTCACAACCCAAAAGCCAGCTACACCTGGAAGACATCTCTGAGAAGTAGTCATTTCTTAAGGTTTTAAATATTAGCAATAAAGCTACTTGGCATAAACAACTTACAAGCATCAACCCAGGAATTAAACTTTTAAAAAAATACAAAATGAGAAAACACTTAAGCAAGATGCAACCTCAGGTTTCCAGGTCACCAAAGGAAAACCCAGGGATCAATGAGGTAGAACAATTTAAAACCTACCCACATAGACTCTGAAGTGGAAGTGACAAAGCAGATGAATGAAGCTCTGGGGAAAAAAATCAAAGTAGAAATAGTTTAATGAAAGACTTGCTTAGTGACTCTAGAGCAGATACAGATAAAAAAAAAAGTGGAGGTTCTTAGGAAAATGGAGGTGCTTAGAAAACCATGAACACCCTACATAGGAAAGAAATGGAATCCATGAAACAGATTCAAACACATACCCAGGAGATTAAAAATTCCATTAAAAGTATATGCAGCAGGGGCCAGGGATTTACTTCAGTGGTGCTGCTGCCTAACTTTCAAGTACAAGGTCCTGAGTTCGATCTCCGGTACCAAAAAAAAAGAAGTATATACAGCAGAATGAGCCAATGTGAGGACAGAATATCAGATATAGAAGACAAGATTGTGGTTGATGATCATGAAACGAAAGATTTCTTTAAAATAGCAAGGGACCACAAAAGAAAAACAATCAATCCAACAGCTGCTAGATAATGCAAAAAAAAATAACAAGATTGATCAGAGTCAAGGAAAAAGCAGAAGATAGTGCAAACAACATCAAAAACCTGCTCCCAAAAGTAATGCCAGAAAAATTCCCTAAAAATGGGGGGGGGGAGGTTTGACATACAGATAAGTGAAGCATACAGAACTCCAATTACCCATGATTAATATATACACATATATACGTGTCTATATATACATATATATTGACACATAATAGTCAAGATTCCAGAAATTCAACCAACAATAGAATATTAAAAGCTGTTAGAGAAAAGAAACAAATCACCTATAAAGGAATGCCTATCAGAATCACAACAGACTTCTCAATACAAACCCTAAAGTCAAGGAGAGCTTGGAGTGAAGTATTTCAAGCCCTAAAAGAAAATAACCTCTAAACCAGACTGATGTAACCCACAAAATAATCTTTCAAGGGTCCAGGGATTTAGCACAGTGGTGCCACCCTCTGCCTCGCAAGCACAAGGTCCTGAGTTCAATCCCTGATACAAAATAATATAATAATAATAATATTTAATAACAATAATCTTGCAAAATTGATGGAGAAATAAGATACTTCCATAACAAAGAAGACCTGAAGAAATTCATGACCACCAAACCAGCACTCTAGAATTTTCTGAAGGACATTCTAGAAAGAGATAGCAAGGACTACAACTACACAAACCCCAACAGAATGAATCTACCAGGCAAGAAAAGCAATTAAATAGAAGGGAAAGAAAGGGAACAACAGGAAAATAACATGACAAGGGTAAGTCAAAACATAATTGTTATACCCACAATTGTTATACCCATAATTGTAAATGGTCTCAATTCACCAGTCAAAAAAATAGATTGGCAGAATGGATCAAGATCCAATAATATGCTGCATACAAGAAACACATTTAACTAAAAAAAAATTTATAAGATGTAAGTCAAAGGATAGAAAACAATACTCCATGTGAAAGGAACCTGGAAAAAAGCAAGAGTAGCTATTCTGTTTGCAGACAAAGCGGATTTCAAGCCAAGACTGATTAGGAGAGATAAAAGTCACTACATCCTTGGAAAGGAAAAAATCCAAGAGGAAGAGATAACATATATATTTGCACCACAGACATGAAAAGGGACAAATACTATATCATCCCATTTATGGGATATTTAATAGTCAAATTCATAGAGAGTAATAGTTGAGAGGAATGGGAAGTTATCCTTTAGTGGGCATAGTGTTTCAACTTGGGATGATGAAAAAGTTTTGGAGATGAATAATGGTGCTGGCTGTACAACAATATGAATGATACTTTATGCTAGTGAATCATATACTTAAAAATTGTACACCTAAATGGTCATGAGGTAAACAAATACACACACACACACACACACACACATATTAATGACAGCAAGAACATGGAACAATCTTTTAAATCAAAACAAAATAAAATTGGGGTTAATAAAATACATCAAACTTTAGATCTTCATCAAAAGCATTTGAGTGAAAAGTGAAACTCACAGAATGGAAAAAAGAACTAAAAAAACAAAATCAGGGAGTAGGCTGCTTGCGTTTAAAATACATATATAAGAATCTTGGAAAACTAATGAGATATAGGTAACAGTAGAAAAGTGGTGAAAAAAATGATTGAATAGGCACCTCACTAAAAGGAGACATAATCCAATAAAAAGATGTTAAATTTCCTCAGTAACAAGGGATATGTAATTTGAAAAAAAACTATATTCACTATATACTCACTAGAATGCATAAGATATAAAATGCAAGTATATGACAATTCCAGGATTTTCCAAAAATTTCAGCCAAGTGGAAATTCATACACCACTGACAGGAAAAGAAATTGGCAAAAGCACTTTGGAAACCTGTTTGACAATAATCTCTTAAATGTAAAAATATCCACACTCATTCCTACATCTATGTGGTATAATCGAAAAATACAGAAATGTTTTAAGCTTTTTAATTTATTACAGTAAAAGACACATTACCGTTGATCTCCCTCAGAATACTCTTTCTCACTTTGAACACACTTATCCCATCATTCTTGCCACTTTCTGACACAGTTCCAGAAGTCCTCTTCTGTGTCTTTCGATGCACTGTCATGGCTGTCTCAGCGTCTGGAATTGATTCAAAATGTTTACCTTTCATGGTCATTTTGACTGTGGAGAACCAGAAGTCACTTGGTGCCAGATCCAGTGAATCCTGGGTGAGGACACACAGTAATGTTTTTACAAGCCTGCTTTTCCATTGGATGGTGCTCAACACCAGCATTCACCATATTTTTGACACCTTATAAAGACATAAAAAAGGACTTCCAGAACTGCCTCAGAAAGTAGCAAAAACAATGGGATATGTGTGTTCAAAGCCAGGGAGAATACTGTGAGGGCAGTTAATAGCAATGGCTTTTACTATATTTTTTTTTGAATTGTCACAAAATGAGTTCTATTCTCTCGTTCCATTTAAATTAAAATGTTCATCATATATTTTGATCATACTACCAATGGCTATATCCAATATATGCCACAAAAGACATATAAAAATGTTCTTTGAAATATTATATCAATACTGATTATAAAAACTATAAAGAGGCCCGGGGATTTAGCTCAGTGGCACTGCACCTGCCTTGCAAGTGCAAGGTCCTGAGTTCAATCCCCAGTACCAAAAAAAAAAAAACTATAAAGAAATAAATCATTTATTAAATGTAGATGAAATTTTAAATTATAGATATTCATAAAGTGCTACACATCAATGAAAATAAACAAACTTCAGTTACATGCCTAATGCATAGTAAGAAAACAAAGAAGCCAGATGCAAAAAATAAACATGAACCAGTTTTGGTGCCATATAACTATAATCCCAGCACTCAGGAAGCTGAGGCAGGAGGATCATGAGTTCAATGCCGGTCTGGGGTACAAAGTGAGACCCTGTCTAAAAGACATAAAATATAGTTCATGTAATTTCAAAAACAGGCATAAACTAGACAGTGTTGAAAGTTGAATTTTGACAGCGGTCACATTTGGAGAGGAGGAAAGAATGATGAGAGTAGGTACAGTAAGTTTCCAAAATGCTGATACTGTTTTCTTTCTTCACCTGTGTACAAGACTGGTCACATAATTTGTGGGACCTGGACAAAGTAAAAATATGAGGACACCTGTCCAAAAACTATGAGTATCAAGCTTGACAAGATCAGTGAACCGAATGCAGGTCACTTCTGTATTTTACAGACAAATGAGGGCTTACTGGATTGGGTCTGGCTCTGCTAACTCTGAGAAAAGCTAAAGCTCATGAGCACATGGCAAGAGAATGCAAGGAGGACTACACACACCTGAGCCTGCTTTTGTTCAGCTCTCCTAGGTTTGTCCTAGAGGAAAATGAGGCCAATGGAAGGAAAAAAATGATGGACATAGGTACTTGGAGAAATTTAGCAAGAACATAATAAACCAAATTATCCTCACCCTGCAGTGGGGAAGTAACTTGTTTCGAGGTCTTCAGCTCCAAAGTTTACCTCCCCATCCCTAGCACACAGTGCCAAGAAGGCTTTCACACAGTTATTCTGGAAGGGGGCCGACTCTCTCTAACAGATTTTATTCTTTCCTGAGCCATTTGTTAGCACAGTGCCCACAGACCACAGGAGAGCTGTGGCAGAAGGAGAACGTGCCAGTGAGTGTGCTCAGATGGCAGGAGGTGGGGGAAGTGACCCAAGGGCCTCCAACATGGCTGGGGTCCTGCCGAGGACCCTGGTCCCACGTGGCCCGGCATGCAGCCTCCACCTCTGACTGGCTAACGGGACGGATGTCCCTTTTTCTGCCTGCAGTGCAGCGGGCCTTGTGTAGGGCCGCACCTGGCCATGCAGCACAGACAGGTGTTCTGCCAGACCCGGGACGGCATCGCCTTACCATCAGAGCAGTGCAGCGCCCTCCCCAGGTAAGAGAAAGCCCTGGGCCTTCTTCCTGGGCCACGGAGCACTGGTGGTACCAGAATGCACCCCACCAGCCTCCCACAGCCTCGGCATCAGATGCCCTGCTCATGTACCTCCGTCATGCCACACAACTCCTGAGCCCTCCAGGGACAGATGGCTCAGTGAGACCTCGTGCTTGCTGAATGCTAGGCTTTGTTCTGGTGGGGATGAAGCAGGCAGGAGTCAGCTCCCTGGTGGAGCCTGGACACCACGGGAAATCCACACCAGCCCCACTGTGGGCAGGAAGAGTGGCCCACTGTCCCCAGCGGCCCCACCAGCTCCTCACACTGGTTGACCTTGATTTACAGGGTGTGACAGGGCCCTGTCCCTAGATTTCCACCTCTCACCCCTGTCCAGCCCCGCCCCTTACCACACCCTCTGCAGATGCCCCCTGGGAGGAAGCTCATCACTCTCAGTTGGGACCCAGTCCCAGAGACGGGCTGCCAAGTTCTGTTCTGCCAGTCTCCACCTGAGTACAGCTCGTTCTCATGCCACATGGCGACACAGACCTTGTGGAGAAGAGCAGAGGCAGGCCCGCCTTGGGGAAGGGCCATTATATGCCGTTCCATATGGAACACAGATCAGAACCCTGGTCTACTGACACCCCGAGTTCTGAGGAGCCCGTTACTGACATTCCCAGGTATAGCAGCATTTCATGCATCCCAGGTCTGATCCCCACAGATCATAACTTTAACCCTGTCCCTCCTCCACAGGCCTGTGAGCTCTCAGAACTGCTGGTCAGAGGCCTGCAGTGTGCACTGGAGGGTCAGCCTGTGGACCTTGTGCACAGCGACCTGTGGCAACTATGGCTTCCAGTCCCGGCGGGTAGAGTGTGTGCATGCCCACACCAATAAGGCTGTGTCTGACCACCTGTGCTCCTGGGGCACCCGGCCTGCCAACTGGCAGCGCTGCAACGTCACCCCATGTGAAAACAGTACGTTCCAACCCCAAAGGACACTCTGCAAATTCCCCACAGGGCACCGGGTGCAGCGGGAAGTCCCTGGGGCTGAGCTCAAAGGCAGGCCACTGGATCAGGTTCCCCAAGGAGTATGAGCCAGGGTGAGTGGAACCTTGTTATTGGGATGCATGGGTGTGCACAAAGGTGTGTGTCTACATGCCCAGCTGTGGAGGTGGCAGGGTGTCCCCACGGGCTTCTGCCATCTCCGCTGTGGCCAGAGAGCCAGGTGCTGACGGAACTGGCCTCCAGCTTGCCTGCAGTCAGACAGGCTGCTCCTAGAGATGGCTAAACACTGGCTCCCCGGGCCAGACTACCAAAGAGAATACTGTTCATACTGACGGGACAGAGTACATCCTCCTACCCAGCTCTGCCCGGCGCTGCTCTGCCTCTCACTGACCAAGGACCTGCTGATGGCGCCTCCTCCCCACTAGGAGCGACACCTGGAGTGAGCAGAAACCCACGCCTCTTTCACCCTCTTCTCCCTCAGCCTAGCACCAGCACTTGTATTCCGGCTGGGTAGCGGTCTAGTTTTTCTTTCTCTGAACCCAGAGCCCAAAGTGGAAGTGTTTCCCCACAAGGAAAAAAATCTTGAGACAAAGAATAAGAAAAAAACAAACATAGGAGCACAGTCTTCCCCAAACTGAGCTTCACTGAGGACCATGGTCTCCTACCCTGGTGCCACGCTGACCTGCACCCACCGCAAAGGCTCACCACCTCAGGGGCACCAGTGTGCACGTGAGCAAGGACTCGCGACCAGATCCAGGCGGCACCAGTGTTTAAGAGCTGTTTAGTCTGCATCAGAACCGAACTGGAACACCATGTTTGAAGCCTGGCAGGCAGAAGGAAGAGAAAGGCTTAGGTGGAGAATATAAGAAAACAAAGCTTAACGGAGAAGGGAAGGCCCAAGGCCATGGGATGGTGAGCTCCAGCTAGGCCCTCCTTTGCCTGCTCCCTCGGGGAGAATTCGGAAATCAGTCCTCCTGGGAGCCTCTCTGGGATGACAGTCACCCAGATACCCAGTGCCCAGCAAAAGGGAAAGGGCAGGCAAAGAGGTGGTTGTAGGGGTAGTCAGGAGGAAGGAGAGGACAAGTACCATCAGGAAGTAAAGGCAGCTCGCAAAAAGGAGCAGTGAGCACCTGAGAGAGGCCCTCTCCGGCCAGACACCCTCGCTCAGCCAGGGTGAGGCCACCCAGAGGCCCGGGCAACCCACGCCAGGCTGAACTGCAGCCTTTTAGCCTCTGTTTCACATCTCCTTTCCTTCCCCTCCCCAGGGGAGTGCAGGGACACCACCAGGTACTGCGAGAAGGTGAAACAGCTGAAGCTCTGCCAGCTCAGCCAGTTCCAGCTGCGCTGCTGTGGAACTTGCGGCCAAGTGTGAAGATGGCGCGGCGGCCGCCCGGCTCTGCCCTGCCCCACACGGGACTCAGCAGCCGCCTGCCTTGGACAGAACTTCCTGTTTCTCTGCCCTTCCCATCTCTCTCCTGAGGGCTCAGCACCTGTTCTTCCCAGGAGCTGGAGGACAGAGCACGGGAAGGCAGAGGGCTGGCGTGGGAGGGCTGCAGGGCAGAAGTAGCAGCTCCCTGACAAAGCCAGCTTCCTCCCAACCCAGGTCTCTGGAAGGGCGGCCCAGGACGAGGGAGCCATGGCTCCAGGGACCCAGGAGGCTTGAGGGCTTTGAAAGCACTGGTGCAGACCACTGGTGCAGCTGTGTCTTTCCGGAAGCATGCTGCTAACACAGGGGGGTTGTTCCTCTGCCACCGCTGCTGCTTCCTCAGGGGCAATGAGGACAAGGGGCTCCCCGCTGAGGCAGAAACTGGCCCGGAACTCGGCTCTTGAGGGGGGCTGGGGACCACAGAGAATGCAAACACGGATCTGTAGTGGTGGAGGAGGAGACGATCAGAGTAGGCCCGAGGCACACAGTGATGCAGAAAGGGAAGGGACAGAAAGGAAGGGAAGCCTGTGCGTGTTCCTCAGTGAGGAGGAGCACACGGGCAGAGGTACTTCCAGGCGGTGCAGGGGTCTCAGGAGACACTCTGAGCCCTGGGGCACACAGTGCACCTCGGTGGGTTCAGGGGAGGATTGGGGGTGTTTAGAGCTCTGCTTCCCCTTTCAAAGTATCCATCAGCTGGGGAGGAGACATGCCCCCTCCTGGGATAGGGAGAGTGTCTGCTCTCCACACAGGAAGCTTTCTGCCTGTGCAGCTATGGCAACATTAGCAGGAGGTCAGCATCCAGCTGTGCAGCAAGGCTACTCCTTGTAGCCAGGACCCCCCCCCCCACCTCGCCCTGAACTAACTGCTGCTGTTGGCCAGGGGCACTCTGAACATGCATAGGCCAGACTTCTCTGTCTGGCCTTTGCTGGGGACTGGGGTCTGTTGGTCAAAACCATTAATCAATTTGCCAGAGAATACCTATGGGTTTGAAGCAACTACTTCCTCCCAGAGCTGACCAGTGGGACAGTGGGGTGGGACACTCCCTGGATTTGTTCATGCCCATGGCACACCCTAGGGTCTGAGGCCTCTCCAGGAGCACTGTGAGAGCTGCTGTCCACAGTATTTATGCAGCAGGCGAGGGTGGGATGAGGAGGAGCCAAGGCCAGGGGTCAGTCCTCACAGGCTTTCCATCCCACCCTCCCACAAATGAAATACTGCAAACCTTATGTTGATTAACCGACCACAGTTGTGCTGGTTCAGCTCCTCAGCAGGCAGAGCAGCATGCACACTCTGCAGCACCCCAGCTTTGACGAGACGCTACAGCAAAGGCAAGAGCCCAAATACACACTGGGGGGCTGTGTGGCAACTCATTCAGATGACAGTAGCTGCAGGCAAGAACTTTTACCTCATCCCTGAGTGGCCCCAGTTTAGTAGGGGGCAGCCAGAGTCATATAACCCTGTGATAAGCCACCCTCACATGCACACTTATGAAATGACACTCACCCAAGGCCACCACTGACATCAGGGCTGCATTTTCCATCCAGCCTAGAAGTAAAATTTGGGAGGAAGATAATATTAATCTGTATCTTTTCTAGGTGAGTAATGGATAGAGTGGGGCTTTCTTCCTCACCACAAAAATAGGCTCTAAGAAATCATGTTACTAAAAATCAGTGTAATGTTTATTTAAAATAAAAGAGAATGTTTTCTATGTATATCTTTTGTGAATATTTATTAGGATTTCTTGTATAAAAAAGTGCAATATTAATAATTGTACATTGTCATCTTGAAAAAATATTGGGGGATTTTTTTATTAACTTCCTGAAGCTGTGTTTCTGTAAACTCAGTGGTGATTATTATATTTTTCCTATTTTTAATAGATGTTGGTGTTTAATTCTGGATCCATTATTCACTGTGTACAGAATAGATTGTAAATGCTAATGTGGGACAATAGAGGTTATTTGTGACACAATAGTTATGCATAGAATAATGAAGACAAATTCCATAGCTATTGAAAATTTGCAGTAAATATTTACATTTCCTAAAAAGCAGGCATCTTCCAGCTGTCAGGGTGTAGAGCAGGTAGTGGGTTTCAGAGCAAGCTGAGAGCCTAGGTTTGGGGTGGAAAACATGTGCTTCTTGCATGAGATGAATGTACATTTAACGTTTGTTCTGTGAATTGTGACTCAGCAGTACCACATATTATTAGGGCTGCTGGATAATGTGGAAGGAGGCACTTCCTCCTCTAAAATACAAAACTGTTATTTATATTTTTTGTACAGATAATACAGCTTATTTATTTAAATCTCGTTGTCTGAGTCTCTATTAAAGTTCAGCCTTCCCATCATGTTTTGTACCCTGTCAGATGGTTCTCAGCCAGCAATGTGTGTCTGGAAGACAGAAGAATTGCAGTATGGGGCTCTGCTTGGGAAGCTGGGGCCCATGCCTGGAAGGGCCAGCTCTGTAAGTGAACCCAGAAGAGATGCATTTGTAGATGTGGGTATATGCAGGCTGAGTGCTGCCAGTGAGATGAGCAGTCATGTAGAGCCCTATGTAGCAGGAAGATGAGATCTTCTGGAAGAAATCCAAGCAAGGCTGTGATAGATAGGGTTGGCTTTGAGAGTGCTCTTGTTCCAGGTCAGGCTAACTGCCAGGGAGGGCTGTACACAATAAGAAGAGCTGCAGCGTGATGAAAATGTGGATGTGAATACAGGCTAACCTTTACAGATCACTGCATTTCACCTCCACACCACCCTTTGACTGTCTGTTTGCATATGACCACCTTAGCACACACACAGTTCTTCCCTGCTGCTTTGAGGGCAGTAGATGGTGACAGTAGGACATTTTATGGAAGCTGTTGCTTTTTTCTGTCCTAAAATCAATTCTTTTGGATACTTCTGGTTTATAAGGTTCCTAGCCCCCTATTTAAAAAGCATTTTAATAAAAATTAGATACCATGGAAAGTGCAAAGATAAACGAAATTACCTTGTAGGGGTCTTCATCAGCAGGCTGTAGTCCAAGTGCAGGCCATCCCCAGCCTGGTTCGTGTCCACACAGAAACTGAGGTGAGACACAGTGCAGAGGACCCAGAGCCTGAAAGCCAAACCCAGTACGTCTTCCAGTGCATCACACCCTCTTGGGCAGTGTGATGTATGTGCAAAAAGCTCTTCTTGGAATTCTAGTTATTTTCTAAAAATTTTTAGGTTAAGGAAAAATCCAATATTAGAATTGTAAATACTCACATACCAGCAAGCAAACAATGTCCCACAGCATCCCCAGCACGTGGGAAAGCCAGAGACACCAGAGCAGAGTTCCAAGAAGGCTCAGCTCAAACAGAATCTGTGGCCATTTTTCCAGCCAAAATCACAAAACTCAGCAAGAGGAAAAAGAGATTCCTACCAGTACACCACCAACCACAGTAAAAATGTCTGAACTCTTAACTAGGGCCAGCCCTGGCATGGCAGCCCCTCAAGCTGCAGTTCCTGCCTGTCTTTGTTGGCTTCCCAGCACTCTAAGGAGATGAACCAGGAATTCCACAGCACCATGAAGACCAGAATGGTCAACGGACACCAAAACTCATTCATGCCTCCAATTCCTCCCCTATTAAAGTGGGATAGCTCAAAGGGTAGGGTTGTTGTGAGAAAGTATTAGTTGATTCATGTGCTGACACATCACCAATGCACTCACTGAACATTAATTAATTGTTATTATCATCCAAACTACCCTGAAAGAGACAGGGAGATGAAGGGCAGAGCAACCACAATTTTTACTATTTCACGTTATTTCCCATTGTTATATTTGAAAGACTCTCCCTTGTGTTTTCATCTTTGATTGAAAAGGAAATGTGTGTAGAACGGTACTACACAGCAGCATAACAAGACAGCTACTAGTGGACCAAATTCTATGTCTTAGAAGAAAACAGATCAGTCTACATAACCAACTGAGAAACACCAATATTCCAACAAACATCCAGAAATACTTCCCAGGATTAAAGTTACCATACAGTCTCAACATATAGCCCAGGCTCAATTCAACATGCCCAACTGTATACATAACTACCATTTCCTTTGAGTTATTACAAAAATGGAGACATACTCAAGGAAATATACAAGTAAAATAAAAGCTAAAATTAAGGCTATCTCACTTGACAGGTGATGAAGTTTCTCATAAACAACATGCTACTATCCTCTCACTTCATCCTGCAAACAAACCCAAAGGAAACAATCCAACTTTATAAATGGTTTCAGCTAGCAGGAGACAGGTAACCCTCAATAATCTATCTGTGGGGCTCCAAACAGTAGTCAAAGCCATCCACAAAGGGGAAGGAAATGGAGTAAAGGATAGAGCTCATATGAAATAATCCAAAGAATATTAACCTTTTAGGTAAATTAATCCAAAGGTGGCTAAACTAGGAAGTACAATAAAGTACAATGCCCTTGGCTTTGTCCCTCTCTTTCCCTAATTTGTTCAATGAAGCAGCTATAATTTAAAGACTTCATGATTCATTCAGTATGCATTCAACGTGAGTTAAATAGGGAAGGTTATCCATGTCACAAACTGCCAATTAGGAACATGTCAGTGCTGAAACAAGCCTTGAAGTAAGCAGTAAGAAGTGAATACACAGTGAATTCTCCCAGTCTTCCAAGTTTAACTATAAATCATTGTTCACCCACCATCTTGTCCACTTAGAGATGTTTTATAGGCCAAGTGTGTATCACATTGTCAGAAACCATTATCTTTCGGCAAACCTCAGCTTCTTATTCATAGCACTCCAGGGTTCGCAACTGTTATTTTGCCTCCCCCCAAGCCAGGAGGCAGCTGTTGGTAATTAAGCCTTTGCTAACAAGAACTGGGCCGTCACCTTACTTGTCAACTGGAGGTTTACAACTTCACTCAGATGGCTTCTGTGAAGCACCTGGTCTTAATCAACCACTTGTCACACTTCTAATAACACAGTGTACACAGTCACTCTCCTCTGCTTTCAAAAGGCAAACTCCATCTTCACGCATTCCCTAGGCTGCTCCTAAAGAGATGGTTTATATATGTGTAAACAGAAGTTAAATGTGCAGTTTTATGTGCATGAAGAGAAGGCGGACAGTGGAAAATGGTTCTCCTGCCGAACGTAAATAACATTTAAGCAGAATGCTTAAGGGCTAAGAGATTGCACAGTCAGCATTCAGTCAGAAAGTAAGCCTGGGAAATCTGCCTCCTCCTCCAGGACTTCATGATGGCTGGGGTCAACCTCGTTACAAACCCCTGAATGATAATAGACAAGCTGTGAACAACTTGAACCAGCGAGGTGATGAAATAAGGTACAGCATTGGTTTTCCTCCCCTCCACCCTCACCATCATCTTTAAAATAATAATGAAAGGGCCAAGAAATGACTTCACTGAGGTGATGGTCACTTGCGTAACTCTGTTCTGTGGCTAGAGACCTGAGTGTCACAACGCCAGGATACAGGGCAGGTCCAGCTCCATGGACCCCCTGCTCTGATTTCTTCGACCTGTGCAGGCCTCTCCCTGCTGCCACGGGGACACTGAAGGTTACTGCCTGAGAACAAGGACCTGTGACCTGAACCCTCCACCCCCTCAGCACTGGGTTTCTCACTTAGGTCCAGCTGGGATGGAACACAACTTCAGTCCTCCCTGCCAGATGGGCCTCCATGCCTTCTCATCCTTCTTGATCTTGTTTCCCATCATATACCTTTCTTTTCCCACCCAGACACACTCATGCTAGGCACTGACTCTGGGCCCTGAGAACTCAGGTGCGAGCCTCACACCCTTGCCTTCAGGGAGCTCATGGTCCATCTGAGAAGCAGACACATCCCACAGCAAATGACAACGGGCCCTACTCCAGCTGTGAAGTCCAGTTCTGGAAAACCTGCAGCTCTTCCTCATTTAACTTTTTCCACAATCAGCACCCAGTGATTTCTCCCTTTAGTTTGAGTCCTGTCTCTGGGAATTTGCAGAGTTCTCCTGTCCAGACCCCTGGAGTCTACTCTGGTGCCTCCAGTCCACTCTCCATGTAGCAGCTAGGGGTAGTTAGCTAACATTTAAAATATCCACTCGTAAATGCAACCTCCAGAAGCAAACACTGAAAGAACTCTAAATATTATTTAAGTCCACATGAGAGTCTCTTAATTGCACAAATTCATTAATTATATACCAGTGAAATGAGCAGTGTTGAAGGACTGGACGTTGTACATAGCATCAATGTTTAAATCATCTAAAATTCCAGCTGCTATGGCTGGAATGTGTTCCCTCCAAAATTCAGGGGCTGCCAAGTGATGGGATTAAGGGGCAGCGCCTTTGACAGGTCCTCATGAGGGCCCTTTCCCTCATGACTAGGATTAGGTGTCTCACAAAGGAGCTTGATGGAAGGAGTTAAGTTCGGTTCTGTCGGTCCACTTTCTGCCATATGAGGGCACGGGGTTCTTCTCCCTTTGAAGAATATACCATTCAAAGTGCCATCTCAGAAGCAGAGAATAATTCTCACAAAATGCCAGTGCCTTGATCCAGGAGTTCTGAGCCTCCAGAACTATGACAAGTTAAATGTTTGTTCTTTATAAATTACCCAGTCTATAATACTGTGTTATAATAGCACCAGTATCTAACACAGCAGCACACCTGGCAGCCTGTTACTCCAAGTCTAGCTATTACTGTCTTTGGTTCTGTGCCGAATTCTGTTTGCATGATCTGACCAAAGAAGTTTTTA